GTGTGTGTGTGTGTGTGTGTGTGTGTGTGTGAGAGAGAGAGAGAGAGAGAGAGAGAGAGAGAGAGAGAGAGAGAAAACAGGTAAAGTCTCCAACCTCGTGGCTGGCCTCACGCTAATAGGATGAGAAAAATGGAATGAATCTTCCGCTAGAACATGGAAATATACACTGTCCCACAGCCTCCCGTTCGAACCGGGCTGACCGTCTTGCGCTGCTCGGCCTGTGCCTTTCTGGGAGGCACACCGTTTTGGCCCGCCCCACCCGCGTCAGCCCGCTCGGCCGCTTCCCACACGGTCCGTGGGCCCCTTTCGTACTTTCCCAACACTGTGAACGGGGCCTCGCGTGGGACGCTCACTCGAGACCCTCTATTTCCTTTTGAGTATTAGAGAAGTCTTAGAGAAGGCCGACAAGACATCCGTATCATCTGCTTCATTCCATATCAATCATGGATGCCGGACACCCATGTCAGACACCCATACCAGACATCCATGTCAGACATGGATAGCACGTGAGACATGGGTGCATCCTGTCAGACATTCGTGTCAGACATCGGAGACATGAGTGCATCTTGTCAGACACTCATTTCAGGCGCTCATTTGATCCTCTCAGACATGTGTACTGGTGAAGCCTCCCATGGTCTATGTCAGAGATGGATTTCGTCATGGATGTCTGACATGGGTGTCTGGTATGGGTGTCTGACATGGGTGTCTGGTATGGGTGTCAGAAACGCATGTCAGACACACATGTCAGACATGGATTTCGTCATGGGAGGCTTTGTCGAACATTGTGCATCCTGTTGTGGACTTGTGTCCGACGTCCAGTGCAGCGTTCGAGAAAGATATTGTCCTTTTTTTAGTCTTAATAATTTGGATCATTTTTCGATTTATTAGTGCTTATCATCCTTGCACAGGGGCCATGGTATTCTTCTCCGTCTCGTTCCAATTTCAATTTGTTGCACGTCTGTCTAGTATCTACCCTCGCCTAGGATCCAGTGTGACAAACCCAGTCCTCGTCCCCGATGCAATGCTTCAAGTTGGTTACCCATTGGCCGCGCGCGAAGAAACCACAGTAGCTATGTTCTGCTCCCTTTTTCGGATCTCGCCCGTTTTCTCCAGTCCACCCTGATTGCATCCCTCAGTCCTTGCTCAAGGATTTTACGATTTCTCTCTCTCTCTCTCTCTCTCTCTCTCTCTCTCTCTCTCTCTCTCTCTCTCTCTCTCTCTCTCTCTCTCTCTCTCTCTCTCTCTCT